GCTCTCTGCTCTCTGCTCTCTGCTCTCTGAAGATGCCGGGCACAGGTGCTGGCGAAACGTTAGGAAACAAAACTTCCAGAACACGGCCACACAGCCCAGAAGACCCACACCAGCCATCGTATTCCGGCCGTGAAAGCCTTCGACAATACATTACTCAGCAGTTGCTCTCCCTGCATCCAGTAGAGTTTTACTTCGCGCTCAGATTGTAGACATACCACTTTGCTGTATTGTTTTATCTGAGCAGAATGGAGCACTCACTCTCAGGTTTTCTGGCTCTGGGGGCACTATAAGCTGATTGGCAAGAGTGATGTGCATATGGAGGGGGCGGCGGGGGGGGGCAGAAGGTTGCCCTTGCTGCTTAGTCTTGGGCCAGTCCTGCTCTTTGTACTGAGTGACGCCCCGTGACTTTTGCCCAACAGGCTGATAATCATCTATGTTATATGAGACTCTGTTATATGCTGTGGAGCCCCCCCCCCCACCTTCTTGTTGGCTGGTGTTTTTTAGCTGAAGAGGGAAGTGCTGATACTGAAGGCACAATTGCAAACAATTCTTGCAACAAGAAATAAAGAGAGAGCAGTCTGGATATAGCCAGAGCTTTCTAAAATGCTAAGAAGGAAAAGGGACACCTACACAGGAAGTGGGAAGAAGGATACAAGGCAGTTGCTGAAAAGTGTCAGGATTTTCTTAGAAAAGCTGAAACTCTGAAGGAGCTGAGACTTGTGAGGAATGTCAAGACTGTGAAAAAGGCCTTTGGGAGTAGACCCAAGAAAGGCAGAAGGATCTGTTGCGAAGGGGCTCTCAAGAAGACTCGATCGTGAGCAAAGGCAAGAAGGCAAAATGTCTCAACCCCTCCTTTATGCCTGTCTTCTCTCAGGAAGGAAACAAAGTCCTTGCTGGCCATCACTGTGGAAGGGGCTGGAGCTCATGACAGTCCAGGACAGGATAAAGGAACATTTAGCTAATTTAAATTAACTCAAGTTGAATTGCATTCTAGGGTTGAAGGAGCCAGTAGCGGGGATTAGAGAACCACATAATAGACTCTTTGAGAACTCCTGGACAAACAAAGAGAACCAGGAGACTGCAGAACAGCCAGTGTTCTTATCTTCAATAAGAGAAAGGAGGTCAGTCCAGGAAATACAGCTTGATATCTATAAAGGGAAGATTATCAACTTGGGAGAGATGATCCATTGGCACAGGGTGAGGTATCATCAATCTACTGATGACTGATTCATTATGTTCACTCAAGTCAGGGACAACTCTTAGCAACCCCACAGATGAATTTTCTCCAGGATGATCTGTTCCCAACCTGGTCCTTCAGGCCTCCCAGTGGTGCACCCATCACTGCTGTAATCTGAGTCCACCCATCTTGTTGCTGGTCATCCTCTTCTCTTACCTTTTACTTTTCCCAGCATTATAGACTTCTCCAGAGAAATGATATAATGTCCTAAATATGACAATTTGAGCCTGCTCATGTGTGTCTCAAAAGAAAACTCTGGACTGATTTGTTCGATGATCCATTTGTTTGTTTTCTGGGGTATCCATAGTATTTGAGACATCTTCTCCAACACCATAGCTGCCTTTCTCAATTCTCCACCACAATAACATTTCTTGATCCTTGGCCTTTTCGGTTTTCGTTGTTGGAGGACTGCATTAGCAATGAAGATAGCATTGGATTGGCAGAAATTGATAAGTCATTCTGCTGCTTTATTTCTGTTTCCTGGCCCATACAGTCCAACTACATTTTCCTCCTTAATATTTCTAACTTTGGCATTCTAATCATCACAAGCAGCCCATCTTGCTTCCATGTTCTGTCAGTTTCAAACTGAGTGTAACCATAAAACTCACCCATCTTCTCTTCAGCATCAATGGTTGGAGCAGCAACATGGATAATCATAGTAAAGGGTTGTCTGTGAAGTCTAATTGATATTATTTGGTCACTGCATTGTAGCCAAGTGCTGTTCTTGCTATACCTTTTCTGACTATGAAAGCAATATAATTCCTTCTTTGATTTTCATGTCATGGGTAGTAAACAGCATGATCTTTTGACTGAAAGTCCCCAATTCCAGTCCATCTCCATTTGCTGATGCCTGAGATGTCAATGTGTTGTCGTTCCACTTCATTTTTCACTGGGTTAAGCTTTCCCATGTTCATGCTTCATACTTACTATGTTCCCACATTTCTTTTCCTGCATGGCAGCATCAGCAAATGGTCTTCTTGAAAGTTTTAATCTAGCCATCCAGCTTGTCCTCAGTAGCATCGAGTGCCATCCGACCTGAGGGGCCCATCATCCAGCCCTATATTGTCGATCACTTTTTATTTTCTACCCGTGTGGTCTTCTTGGTAAAATACAGGAGTGGTTTACCTTTGCCTTCTCCTGCATGGTATGAAATAACGCCTTTGCCGTTGTCTCTAGAGTGATCATCCACCTTCAGCCTCTTCCTGTTTCGCTCCTGCCCAGTATAGACGCCTACTCACTCTGACTGGGCGGCTGGGATTGCCTTCACGCCTGGGGTGACCCTGCTAGGAATACGTACTCTTGGCATATACTCCCAGCATTCTTCGCTCATCCTCTGAGGAACAACCCCCCCGCCGCCCACAACGAGGAAGTGCAGCAGGACTTGGGATGGATGTGGATGGTACTGTTTATATCACTCCACCTTGGTGTGAGCAGGAGGTGCAGTGGAGTTTCTTATCCAGAGCCTGGAACCTGGTCTGGATGGGGAAGAACAGTTTAGAGTCAATGCCAAGAAAGAACATCTGTCAGTTTGGAAGACAACTGAATCCACAATCCCCATCTTTGACTTTGGATGGAGTAGAGTCATCCCGGACTCACTGCCCCTGCCTTAACAGTAGGTGGGGGGGGCCTTTGCACAATTACATCTTGTGTGACAGTTGTGGTCTTTCCTGGATCAAAAGGCTTTACTCGCAATCCCTCACGCCCTTGACACCTCCCAGCCGGGTTACTGCAGCAGGCTTTGTCCTTGAAGACCATCTGGAGTTCAGCCAATGCAACATACAACAGCCCAGGTAATAATGGGTGCGCTGCGATTCAGCCATGTAACATGCAGCAACAGCAGTGTAACATGGCTACTGTGAGAGCTGCACTAGCTGCTGTTATCTCCTGGATGCAGTTCAAGGCGCTGGTTTTCAGCTTTGAAGCCTTAATAGCTCAGGGCCTGGGTGTCTTCATGGCGGCCCTCTCCAAGTTAAATCTGTACATCCAGTACGGTCTCGGAGAGGGGGCTTTACTGAGGCAATGCCGTTTTCAGAGACCCTGAACTTCCAACCCCCTTTGGAATAGCTTACCCCCGAATATTCAGACCATCCCCTCCTTACTCCATTTTCAGAGCTGTAAAATAGGGCTCTTCTAACAATGTATTTGGGCATGAGTAAGATCTTGTTGCCCCAAAATGGTGATGATCAATTATAATTGTATTGATTGATTTTTGGGTTGACTTTATTAATAGCATGAGCCTGAGTCTCTGCATCTGAGGCAGCATAGTAGTAGTAGTACACATAGTCCTCAGCTTATGTCCATCCGTTCAGCAACCAAAGTTACAGTGGCACTGAAAAATGGACATATGACCCGTCCTTGAGGTTCCAGCCATCGCAGCACTCCCACCAGTCACGTGATCACGATCTGGGCACTCAGGTGCCCAGCTCACAATGACTTTGCGGGGAGCCGCGGTCACGTGATCACCATTTGCAACCTTCCCCGCTGGCTTCCCACAAGCAAAGTCAACGGAGAAGCCAGCAGGAAAGGTTGCAAGTCGCTCCAGTAAGTTGCTCCCACCTTTTCTTCTGCCCGTGTGTAGCCTCCCCCGGCCCCTCCCAGGCCCTCCCTTACCTCCGTGGTACCCCCATGCTCTTTGCCTGTGATTCCTGCTGCTTCCTGCTTAACAACCTGCACATCTTGGGGTTATGACAGCAACTGGGATTGTCGTCACTAAGTGATGCAGCATATGATGTCACACTTTACGACTGCGTTGCTTAGCAACGCCATTCCCGGTCCCCACTGCCATCGTAACCGGAGGACTACCTGTAATAGTAACGCTTGTGAGCACTAATGAGAGCCAGCATGGGTTTGTCACAAATGCTGTAAATCATACCTGACTATTATTTTTATTAGTGAGCTGGATAAAGGGTTTTAGGGGATTATAAAATGTGCAGATGGCCCAAAGCTAAGACAAGCGGCTAACATTTTAGAAGAGAAGATTCAAAAAGGTCCAGACAAGTTTGAACAGCGGGCGGAAATAAGTTTAATAGGGAGAAATATACACCTTGTTCCTGGAGAGAGAGAAATGGAAGGTTCAGCAGGGATACCAGGTAAAAAATAATCTGGATATTCTAGTAGCTCGCAGGTTGACCACACATCGAAGGGCGTCCCCTCGAATGACCACGCGCTGTCCTTTGAGCCACGAGGCACCACCTTTAAAAATGAATCCAAGGGTCAGCCCGAGCATGAGCAGCCCAGACGCCGCGGCGGACGGGTCACAGGACCGGCGGGGCCCAGGACTTACGGCCGGACCCCCGCCCGTTCTCCCGTCCGTGCGCCCTACCGGCGCCGGCCCCTGGACGGTTCCGTAGCCCCGGCGCGTCCTTTCTGCCGCAGTTCTGCCGGCGGACGCAGCCTGGGGCGGACCACCTCCCGCTCCGCGCCCCGCGGCGCTTTGGCCGCGTCCCGGCCGACCCTGCTCTCAGCCGCTGCCGCTCGCTCCAGCCTGAGGCGCTTCAGGAGTCCGATCCTCCCTTTCCGCGACGCGGACCGCGAGCCCGACCCCTGGCCACCTCCGCGGCCCGGGAGGGTCCCGGGTTGTCCCGCTCCAGGCAAGGCCGCCTCCGCTCAGCCGTCCCTGCGCCCGCTTTCCCCGGTCCGGCCCGGCCCGGCCCGGCCCGGCCCGGCCACACCTGCTCGGGCCGAGTTGCCGCTGGAAGCGACGGCGCTTCCTC